ACGTCACACGCTTCACACACCGTTGAATACATTATCGTACATCCCGCCGTTCCCCGCGAGCGGTGGTTTCTTTCACATCCGTCTGGTCTCTGTATTTTACGTGTCCATTTGCTTGTCGAGGCCGTTTGTTAAGTGAAACGCTCGCGTTCGCGCCGTCCGTTCGCAGCGACGTTTTCGTCGCGACGGCGCGGCGATGCGCGCACCGCGCGGTGTGACAATTATATTTAAATATAAAAGACGTCGCGCGCGCGCGCACTCAGTTAACTGCAACTGACCGATCTTGCACGGAGACGGTAACGGAGAGAAGTTAATTAAAATCGCCGTCAATTCCGCCGCGCGGCATGTCGTCGCTCGCTCGCTCGCTCGCTCGCGACGCGATTTGACAATGAGCGGTATCGAGAGAAAGAGAGAGAGAGAGAGAGAGAGAGGGGACGTTGGATCTTCAGTTTGTCAGCGGAGCGGTAAAAGATCCGTTTGTTTATTTCCACCGTGACACAATACTTAACATACAACATTCTATGATGCCGCCGCGCTCGAGCTCGCGCGCGCGCGCGAAACGACACGAACACGACGACAAGCGGTAGAATGGTAGTGCATCGCGTGTTTTGTTTGCCCGTTTTCTTTTGTCGCGTGTATGTCCAGCTGCGCGTTGAGAACGCGGCCAGCTCGTGCAAATGCACCGCACAATGTGCCTCAATAGCCTCCACGTATTTATATATATGCCGTCCGGTTCGGTATTTTCCACCGCCACTGTTTATTTCTGCGCCGTACTACGTGGAGGAGAATACACGAGGCTCTCGTTTTAGAGAAAGGGTGGGAAACGGGAGGCCTGAAGGAGGAAAGGGACAGCCGTTGGCGAGCAAGTTTCATCGACCGTGTGCGACGATCGTTACGTATTACCTTGCCTTACCACCCTACGCGAGTCGCGCGTGGAAACAAACGGAATTGCATTTTGTAATTACACCTTTCTCTCTCGCTCCCTCTCTCTCTCTCTCTCTCTCTCTCTCTCTCTCTCTCTTTCGCTCGAGCCGGTGCCGACTTCGCGTTAGTGATCGATCACGCTTCCCCACGACGAATATTTCATGCGCGATTCCGTATTTTCGATGAGGGAGCTTCCCCCGTCGGAGGACGATTCCGAGTCGAAATTTTGATTCCGCATTAACCTTACAAGTTCTGCCGAACTTGAAGAAGCAATGGAGAACCTCGAGACGTAACATATCGGCTTACCTTGATCTCGCAGACGCTCGTCCATCGGCGTTTTCCTCATGTTGAGTTTTAAAGACTTATTAAAGTGATTATTAATTACTTTGCGAAAGACTGATTTTTCTCAAAATTATTTATTACTCGGAAAGATTCGCTCTCTTTAGAAGAATTTTTATTTCCGAATTATTTATCGTTTATTATCTTTATATTCTATTTGCATTTACTTTATATTTTATTTACTACATTAATTCTGCAATTTCTGTCAAGCTTGAGGAATCAACGGAAAATCCCGAGACTCAGATTGAGTTTTAAAGAGAGATTTATTAAAGCGATTATTAATTACTTTGCGAAAGATTTATTTCTCTTAGAATTATTTGTTATTTGGAAAGACTCATTTTCTATAGAAGAATTTTTATTTCCTAATTATTTATCGTTTATTATCTTTATATTTTATTTGCATTTAGTCTTTATTCTGGATTTTTAGTCAGCGGTGCATCGATCACGTAACTCAGCCACGGGTCGAATATATAAGATGAGCAGACTGTCGAATAACTTGACAAAGATTAAAGGATAAAAAATAACACGCACATATTTATTCTCAAAATCTTTTTTCTTTTTACATTGGAAGCCCCGATATGACTTAAAAGAGCTAATAAGGAAGAAGTTGTAAAGCCCACACTCATAGTCGTAAATTATTTACCACCTTTCATTGAGAGCGCAATTAATAACAAGTTTGTATTCACAGACCGTTTCTCGGCTTTTCGAGAATCCACGGTTCTCCTTGTTTGAGATAATGCAAGTACAGATCGACAAGTAGAGATTAACGAAGCTACAACTATTTGTCAATTAACTATGGAGGCCGATTTAAATTTCGACTCGGATACCTCCTCGTCAAACGTTTGTTCAAATCGAGTTTCTGCCGTGTGACAAACGCTTCGACATATCTGGAGGTGCATGGCGCATTACCGACCATGTCCCGGGATCCTGGCTTCCCGATTTACGTAGCATCCTGGCTCTTGGTTGCTCCCTCGTGGCATGGCATTGACATTGACACTCGCGCAAGTACGACTCGTTCGGAGATGCGCGATGTTAAACAACGTGATGCCGATGAAATATTTCAAGAGTTCCAGGAGGAGTTGGAATGTCTCAATCGGCCGAGGCGAATGATGAATATAACGAAGAGCGATAGACTCTACACGTGATCCGCGCCACGCGTATCCTTCGTCTCGGCCCGAAACACACTCGCGGAAACACACGAAAGATTATACGACTCACGAAGGTAAGACCGCGGTCGCCTCGAAAGTCCGGGACCTTCGGAAGGTTATTGTTTGTATCGCTCGGTTGCTCGTCGATCGCTCGATTCCTCACTTGCGGACAACGACTCAATGGCGACTGACGCTTGATCACGTGTTTGTTTCTTTCACTCATTGTTTTGGTAGTCTTGCGTGCCCTGTAATTGTATCCGTGACCGAACCGTGTCATTACTTTTTTTGGAGCCGATATGGGTATATCGCGGGACGCAGAATGTGTGTGAGTGCGTGTATGTTCGGTACACTACAAGTTACAATACCCGTTGAACGATCCAAATATTCCGTCGGCTTTTGAAATATTCAATCGAGTTCTCGTCGTGTCGGCGTCGCGCCGATTAACATATTTCTCCGAGCGAGTCGCATCTACGCGAATGTCAGTACCATGAAATAATGCCGTGGAGATGAAGGATCGGGATGACTAGTCGAAGGGGATACAGGACTCCGAACAATGATGCATCGTATATCTTCGGATGAGCGAGATATTTGTTGTACATAATGTGTACTACTGACTTTGACGGACGTTTGACAAACCCACCGAGAATAAAAAGTGAGAAATAAAAAGTGCAATATAGATAGGCGGATGAATATATTTGTTCATTCATTTCTGCTTTATTATAATTATCCTTCATACCTCTGCAATTATTGATATTGTCGTTATTATCTCTGTTTTAATTTCTTTCTTTAATTTAATTCTCATTATTAATCTATTTGTTACATGTTATATGTGTAAAAGGATGAGTTGTACCAGCTGTTGTCGTGCTTTCAGCGACTGCAGAAATTTACAAACGGCTACATAAAACATTGTTGTGTGTATATATACACTATATTATATATCTGACATGTCCGATAAGAGAAAAATAAATAATAAATAAAAAGATGTTTGAATAAAAATATTCGTTCTGCGTTCATCTTGCAAATACTGTCGAGTTTGAAAGACGAACGGAGAATTTCCGCCACGTCATTGAGTCATACGTAGAAAGACTTATTCTTCCCAGAATTAGTTAATATTAGACAGAAGATAATCGGAATATTTCGTATCTTTTTCTACCGTTCACGCTTCTGCTCACGTAGCCGCGAGGCGCGGACGCGAAATGCATATCTAAGATTTGCGTAACGCGCAAGTGCGGCAATGAGAGAATTCGTCTAATTATACTGTGCCAAGATCATGTCAGCCATATTCCACGCTGATTCCTGTAAATCACTAACTGGTTGTTGCATCATCGCGACTCTGGCCAGCTTTCGAGGTCCTAAGATATAACCGATTTTTACGGCCTAAATATGGATTCCGTCGCTAAATAATTCATTAGAGCAGCGGCTCTCGAGTAGGTGACCGTTGTTTGTCGCCGCAGGCGACAACTGTTTCGCCGTGCATTTCGTCGTACCGTCGAACACTTTATACATATTTACGCCGAATACAATAAGTATTCACAATCAAGCGCAACTGTATTTGCGAGCTTGTAGACGCAATAATGCAAAAAAATTCACCTGCGTAATTGGTGAAAAAAAAAAAAAAAAAGGGAAGGAAAAAAGAGTTGAGCACGACTGCGCCAAAGCGTGCCATATATGTTTTAATAAATCTAGCAACACACGATGTCTCGTTTTTTACGGCGAAAAGCGCGATTTAAAATAACGGCAATGTAAATAAAACTTTACATCATGAAATACGGAACATAAAATATCGCCAGTATCAATAGCACATAAAATACTCCATTGTGTGACGTTTAAAATATCATGTTTAAATTACGCTCGTTCCCGTTACTATCCCTCCCCAACGGATCTTTGAGGTCTTTTTTTTTTTTGTTTTGAAGCGATGACGAGCGACAGGCTCCTTTATTCTCGCGGGATAACGCGCGAAATGCCAATGTCATCTCACGAGGAGAACGGAATATTAATATAACGGCGGCCATCCGCGATCTCCTCGTCGCGAAGCAACGAATAATATAATAGCCGGTCCGTAAGGGATGCGTCTACGACCGAGAGGGCGAAGCGCCCGAAGACGAAGTGTTCTCATTATACCCGGTGATTTATGTGCGTGCCACCTTGCTGTCGGGAGATTCTAGGTTAGAAATAAAGTTAAAAGAAAAATAAGGCTTACGGGGTGCAAAGTCGAGAAAGAGTGGAGGGGGATGCGCGGGCGCCGCGGCTCGCGGAATATATTACAAAAATAAGCTCGCGCCGGCGGGGACGAGACGCGGCGGGGGAGGGGGGAGGGGGCGCGCGGGAAAGTGGCGAAAAAAAAGAAAGAACTTTGGAACTCGCGGGAAGCTCGAAGATCGATGCCCCTCGACCTGCCCTGCCCGCGCAACTTTTCTTGTTTATCGAGCCGCGAGAAATAAAAAGCGATTCGCGCAATCATGCAAACAATTCCGTGATATTTCCCTCGTGAATTTTCTCCTTTTCCCCTTTGCCCGTCGCCCGGCCGTGTCGCGCCGCGGTCGTTTTTATTTCGGCGGGCCTTAATAATCGGTGCATCGATTTTGCTTTCAGGGACACATTGGTGAAAATCCGTTCGACAACGGTTCCTGGGGAAAGGAGCATTTTCAGCCGTCGACAGTTCCCTGGCAGCTGAATCCACGCGGCCACGGTCGTCCTAGTGTAAGTGTCTTTTTATCTCTTCTCCATATTTTTTATCTCTCTGACTCGCGCGTCAAGTCGATTATAAGCGACTTTGACAGAGCGCAGTTGCGCAAACGATACCATCGCTCGCGATCTCTCTTTCAAAAAGCAGAGCGACAAAGGCGGAGCAAAAAACTACGAACAAAATCACCCACAGATCGCGGAACGTGCAAACTCCGAGGTAAAAACAATTTTTCACAGAGGCCTAACGTCGAAGCCTTAGTCGTGCGTAAGTCGGCTGTCGATTCCGTTGCTTCGCGATGCGACTTCAAGATTATTAGCCTTAACGTAATTCTCGCTCCTCGCGGAGGTAGGTACGTGAAATTTATAATTCCGCCGGGCAAGAGCGCCCGCGCCGCCGCCGCCGCCGCCGCCGCCGCCGTCGCCGCCGAGGATGAGGAAGGAAGGGTGGAAAGAAATCCGGCGGCTCATTGTGTCGGCAGGTAGCAAAAATGCCGGCGGGGTCGCTGCTTTCTCGAGCGTTTTCTCCCAGGAGTCGCCGGCTAACTATATCGCGATCCCCCGCGCGCTCGTGAGCCTCCACCCCTTGGTGGCCGACCGTGGCCGACCACCCTCTTACGCTCGCGCTCACTCTCCCGCACCACTCGTCCTGTCACCCGGTATTTATAATACGCTTTGTTTTCCCTCGGCTATTTGTCTTGGGTTCTCGGCTCTTTCGCTAACGTTATTATCCCGCGTTTTATTTTTATTTAATTCCGCCGTGTCGTTTCGCATCCCCTCCTCGCGGCGGCCCTCGTTACTTATCCGCCGGTGGGAGGGAGAGGCCTTAACGAGCGAACGCCTCGTCGAATCTGGACGGTTCTTTGTGCTCGAGTCGACCGAATCAGCCCAGGACCCTCGGGACCCCGCGATGACGCGTCCTCTCGTGTCTTGCGAAAGTTGGCGCGTATCGGCATCGGGATTAAATCGTTGTCGGAGATGGCGAGTTTCGCCGGATGCATCGCATCGCGGCTACACGGCGACGTGACGCATACTTCTCGCCTGTGTAAAAGAGCGTCGGATCCACGTATTATTGTGCATGACTCGCGGGCGCACACAGGCCTAGTCCGCTGCATGACTCGCGCAATCTCCCTTCGCGTTCTTCCGACGCGACGTTCGCCGATATTCGCCTCGCGAGATGTGCAATTTACAATTTCGATGTTCGCTCATTTGCATATCCCCCGCCCCTATCGATCGCGCGCGAACCTTTAACCTTTACGATGCAGATTTACAATGCGCTTTGGCGATGATCTTTCACATGGCACAATGCTACACGTGTCAATGCTGTTATGTAAAGACCCTAATGCCTGTGCCTATGCGGCCGATGAAAAATGTAAGACGCGTACAATGTGAAATCGCGCGCGAAGAGGAGTTCATGGTCGCCAAATTTCCGTCGACGTCGCTTTCAATTACCGTGGGATTTTATTCGCAAAGCGAGAATGTCCCAATTGGGGCGATCCGAGTAACCAACGTCTTGGCGAAGATAAATTAATCATACGATGAGAGTTCGCGAGGTTGATCTTGCCGGAATACTCGAGTACTTGAGACTCCTCCAGTTGTCTCCTATTACACTTCTGTAATTTACGAAAAAACGTTAATTTATGCAGAATATTCTTTTCAGAACTGATTAACACATAACATTTCATACGCCGTGGGTTCGACGGAAAATTCAGACATTTTCTCCTAGTTTCTTCAAGCAACAAAATTTACACGTGTAAAAAAATGTCGCGTTCGATCAGTTAAGCGCGCGCGCGCGCGCGCGCGCGGAAGAATCCAAGGAGCTTCCGATATAATCTACGACACGGCTATAACAGTTGCGCTTTAACAACGGATGACACACTTTGTTTAAGTGAGCGGAGAGTCGAACGCGCGCGGATCGTCGCGAGCACGTGCGCAATCGGCGCTTGTCTCCCTGATACCATCGTATCGAGCGCGATCGTTTGCGTGCAACAAAAGCGGCCGAAAGCACTGACGTCAGCGTTTCCGCGAGCGTACGCGAGCGATGATCTCATGCGTGCATATACGCATGTGCTTACCTAACCGCGGCTCAGCTCCTTTTACGCGCGCGGCGTTACGTGGCGGCGCATACACGAATTATGCTATCGCGTATGTCTACGTGACAGCGACCGTGTGTCGGACGCTGTCTGCTGCAACCACGTGTGTGCATTTGTCAGCATACCAGAAAGCAATACGCAGCGATACGTGTTTTCCGTGTATCGCTCCTGCCACTCGTGCCTCTCCCTCGCCTTTCTGCCTTCCGTCTGAAATCGCACTTCCACGCGCGGTTTTCTCGCGGTAGAGCGCACAGAAACGCCTTATCTCGTTAGCCAGAGAGAGAGAGAGAGAGAGAGAGAGAGAGAGAGAGAGAGAGAGAGAGTGCGCATGGTCTTCCAGCGATGTCTCCCGAGGGTGAAGCGCGTTACGGCGAAATGATTTCGAGAAATTTAAGCTGAGCGCACGGCAGCAAACGAGCCGATGATGTAGATATTAATAGGACAGCCACGCGGAGCAGAAGATAACGTAAGTAAATCGTAGAATTACAAGAGCGAAATCGCTTAATGGTTAACGGTTAACGGTTAATGTTGTAACGCCGGTAATCTCGTGTTATGACATGTCGCCTTTCGCATTTGCATAATCGGCGCGAGAAGCGGTCCAGAGCGTCGGGCGAAAATATCGAGCGTCTCAATATCGTCGAAATTTAAGACGCCAGTGTGTTGATTCTCTCCCTCTTTCTCTCGCTCTCTCTCTCTCTCTCTATCTCTATCTCTCTGTATCTCCATCTCTATCTGTCTCATGCCGCTCTCATAATCTCGGCCACGCTTGTAGTAATATGAATCGCGGCAAAAATCAGAACGGAGGGTGGGCTCTTAGAGCGCCGCCGCGGCCCTTGGGTTTTAAGATATGCAGAGCACAACGCACGCTTTCCTAGCGAGACTATTTTAATACGAATGAAGGTGGGAGGATCAGACGAGCGCGATGGTATGGCGGTCGGCTCGCAGAAGATCTACTTCTTGATTACAGAACTTTTTACCTAATTACATAACATTGTTACCATTTACAAAGTCGCGTCGGGCCTGCGCCGGCTGACTACTAATTAGGATCCCCGATTAGCACCCACGGCGACATCGTATTCCATTTCGATAAGTCTCGCGACATTTCGCTGGCGCTCGTAATGAAAGGGTTGCGGCAGACCGTGCGATGGTGAGTGATTTTTAATGTCCCCGTGAAATTGGAAAAATAGCATGTAAATTAGCGCATCGTGCGCCGTGCGGTTTTCCCGTTCGAAGAAGAACAATGAGAGAGATTTGAACGGCAGCTTTTCTACGTTACGTCGACACACACAAGTGTGTGATGTATGAAAGAAACGTTACAGTAATCGCATGACTTTGGCAACTCGGGTGGAAGATCTCCCTTTTAATCGTCAACTCGTAATTTTTACCGACGAAACAGATGACTTAGCCGCGCAGCTTTGATGAGGGGAATTTTGCGAGATATATTTGTCGAAATTATATCACTTTTGTATTCAACTATTATATACTCGCCGGCAGCGACGTTTATTTTTGCGGGAGAGATGTATTACAGGATGAGGTCACGAACTATGTATACGAGACACATGACTGACGAGAGAGAGAGAGAGAGAGCTATCTCGGGCGATAAAAATTTGAGTCCTATTCTTCAGACGCTGCCCGGTAATTAGATATACCGAACTGTGCCAGACTAACACGCCAGAATCCGCGGTATCAAAGGTTCAGAAAGAGTCGAATTTATCCCCGGGACTTAAGGTTCTTATCGGAAAGATGTAAGGGTCGTGGAGAGATAGTCATGCGCGCAAGGGACGAGTCTCCGACGATGCAGAGACATTAAGACGTCTGGTCCTCGACCTCCGCCCCCTCCAGCCCGCTCGGAGCCCCGGCGAGCGCGCAGCCCCCTTTAGACAGCGGGAGGTTTACCCCGTCTTCATTGTCCTCTAATTCTCATTTGATCCTCACATTACGTAATTTTCTCTTTATTATTTTATAATTCCCGGGTCGCGAGCCCGCGCTCATCCGACTTCAGGTCCGCACGAATTCATCCCCCTCAACGCATACTAATGCACCTTGCATTTATTAATTATTCCGTGCTAGTTACCTCGGCTTCTCGTCTCGCCGTCGCAATGATAGATTAAACTACCTAGATTCGAAAGCTCGCGATGCGCCGCTCGTCCCACTCGTCACCGCGGCGGATACGTGCTCGGAAATTTTTTCCTTCCACCGCCAGATCAATAAAGGCCCAGAGGTATCCGCTTCGACACGAGCAGCAACTTCCTCGACGTCGCTCGAATCACGCCCGTGATCGTCGTGTTGAGACCGTTGAGACGGTCTCGCGTTGAACTCTGGACGTGTTTCACTCGTAAAATGTTTTCCTCCGCGCAAGTCATTCGCAAAATTCCGAGTGAAATCGCTATCGAGAGAGGACTCGCTCCCCCGAGTCATCGTCTGCATGTCAGTCACAATCTATGTATCGCGATTCTATGATGGAGAAATTATCTCTCTCTCTCTCTCTCTCTCTCTCTCTCTCTCTCTCTCTCTCTCTCTCTCTTTCAAATTTACTTTGAAAGAGAACGTCTGCGAAGGGTTGATCATCGGCGGCGGCGCGGTAGGGTGAAAATCATTCGCGACATCCGAATTCACGACGAAGCGCGCCGCCTGAATAGAAATCAAGCGACGATCGAGCGACTTTTGACGAGCCCTTAAAACCCAGTTCGCCGTCTCGTACGTGATATTTGAAGATACAAGCGACCGAACTACCCCGACCAAAGTTCCTCTCCCACCGCCTCCCTGCACCCCCCCCTCCCCTCCGCCCGGCCCGAGATCTTTAACTCCGCGGGTCCTGAAGGACCCGGCTGTTCCACTTGGTATGCAAGGAGAGCAGCCATTCATCTCCCGATCTCCAGCAAAGTCTCGACCTCCGGATATAAATTAGCTTTTGTTTAGCATTCA